TTTGTTTATTTTCTCCTTTGTTTCCATTGTCCTAGGAGATGTATTAGTAAACATATTGCTATGAGAGATGTCTGAGATTTGGATGCCTATGGTTTCTTCTAGGACTTTCATGGTTTCACATCTTACATTTAAGTCTTTTATCCATTTTGAGTTTATTCTTGTCTATGGTGTAAAAGTTAGTGGTCTAGTTCATTTTTTTGCTTGCACCTGTCCAATTTTCCCAACACAATTTATTGAAGAGACTGTCTCTGCTCCAATGTATGCTCTTGCTCCCTTTGTCAAACATTCGAGCATAGTGGCTTGTGATTTCTAGGTTCTCTGTTCTGTTCCATTCGTCTATATGACTGTTCTTGTGCAGGTACCAGGCTGTTTTGAGCACAGTGGCTTGATAGTATAACTCAATATCTGGTATTATGATTCCTCCAACTTTGTTCTTTCTCAAGATTGCTGCAGCAAGTCAGGGTTTTTGGTTGCATAAACATTTTTTGAGTGTTTTTTCTAGGTCTGTGAAACATGCTGTTGGTATTTTAATAGGGATTGCATTGAATCTGTAGATTGCTTTGGGTAATATAGACATTTTAATGATGTTGATGCTACCAATCCATGAACATGTAATATTCTTCCACTTTTTTAATATCTCCCTCTATCTTTTTTTCCCAACATCCTGTAGTTTTCAGAGTATAGATTTTTACCTCCTTAGTTAGGTTTATTCCTAAGTATCTTAATTTTTTTTTATTGCAATGGTAAATGGGATTTTTCTTTAGTTTCTCTTTCTGGGAGTTTACTATTGGTATATAAAAATGGTATGGATTTTTAGGTATCAATTTTTAATAGGAACTTTATCTTCAGAAAAGATGCTAATCTACACTAATAAAAGACAAACATGCAAATTGACCATACCTTTGCTACACCTTAAGCCACGCCCACCAGCAAATCAGAGCAACTATATGCAAATTAACCCAACCAAGATGGCAGCCGGCAGCCATGGAGCTGGAGCAAGCAGGAGGCTTGGTTGCCTCAATGATGGAGGAAGCCAAGCTTCCCACTTGCCACTGCGGACTCTGAGCTCCACTCAAAGCAACAAAGTTTCAACTATAGAAGGTAAATAAACCCGATACCTGCTTTCAGCTGGCTGTGGCCACGGAGCTGGAGCGAGGAGGGGGCTTCCCTCCCGCCCGCCCTGGCTGGCTCTGAGCTCTTCTCAAGGCTACAAAGTTTCAATTATAGAAGGTAAATAAATCCCAGAATAAAAAGAAAAAGAAAAAAAGGAGAGGCTGGGG